GGGCAGGGCAGGGTAGGGCCGGGCCGCGCCGCGCCCCGCCGGCCCTCGGAGCGCCCACCGCCGCCTGGGCCTGTGTGAGGGGAGCGGGGGGCGGGAGAGCCCAGCGCTGCCGGGCTGCTCGCTGAGGGGAGAGGGGCGAGGGCGGCCTCCCACGGAGCGGCCGTGGGGGGGTCCCGGGAGCCCACACGGGCACCGGGGTGGATGAAAGCGTACGCGCGAAGCAGGAGTTGGCTGCAGCTGCCTCTGCCCTCGGCACAGTCATCTCGTACAAACCCTCTGTTGTACAGCCAAAGAGCTGTCGCTTCAAATAACCCACTTGTTGCATTTATTGTTAATATTGTACCACGTCCTATGGTCTTGCTTTGTTCTGCAAATGAGAAGTTTTTAGCCCAAACAGGGGAGCCTGACGTATGTCTGTATTTTCCCCCTCATTTCAGTGAAGAACTTGGAAACCGGCAGAAGCACTCCAGGAGTAAAGATGTTTTTTGACCGTGAAATACTCAACGGTGAGGCTTTTGTCACTGCATTTTGGGGCACAGGGGACACGCCCACTCTTAGTTCAGCATTTAAAATCCATTTTTTGGTCACTGCTGAATTCTTCAGTTGCACATCTTTCTTCTAAAATCAGTAGAATGTTATATAAATTACACAACTTTAATTCCCTAATTATCTATCAATGAAATAATAATAGTTCCCCACTTTGCAAAGGTCTTGTGCCTGTACTGCATTAAAGCATATTAGTTAAATGAAGAGTGAAGTCCAATAAGACCACTAATGAAAGTAACAGCTATGAAGCTGTTCACCTACACCTACTGTAGGTGATCCTGCTCTGTCAGGGGGGTTGGTCTAGATGATCTCCAGAGGTCCCTTCCAACGCTGACCATTTTGTGAAGGTAATCAGTTGAGGTAAGCATGACCCCTGTTTATGTCTAGAAGACAAGTTACATTAAATGTGTGTGTTCTTATATGTGCAAGACTTTCACTAGTGGGCTCTGCTGGGACATGAAGTTGCTTAAAGTTCTGGTTAACTTGGTTTTGCTTTTACTGGCACAGACAAATATACCTCTATTAAATGGTCTGTTTATCTGAGCCTCTTTCCATGATTCACTAGTGATAAGAATATGGGATTATTTAAGAAAAACATTTCTAGTGTCTAAAGGTCCTGTGCATTTCTGTTGGCATCTGCTTTGCATTGGGAACAAGGAGTGAAGTGCTGAGGGGGAAATGGCTAGAAGGCAGCTGTTGGACTCACCAAGTGATTGACTGACTCCATTCTGCCTTTTTTCCTTGTACCTGGTTTATTGTATGTGTAATAGTCTGTAAAGTAATTAGTTGTAGTTCAATACTGACTTTAGTTTTGGTGGGATGCTAAGCCATTAGTCTTTTTTAAATTCTGAAGTTCTGAAATACACCTCGTGTAGGCTACTGATGTAAGTTATTTTATGTAGCCTTGTACATCAGAGTGAATTTAAAACTATTTAAACAACACTTTGAATTCAGTTTCTTTTTTTACATGTATGGCAATGTCCTGTGATGGTTAGTATGGGTTATGGTTCTCCTTTTTGGGATATAACAAATGTCAAAAAGTTGCTGTCAGCACTAGAGTATAAATTGTTTGTTTCTATTGCAGTGGAATTGCTGGATGAACCAGACTCAGGGAAGGGAACAGCAATGCTCTCTGAGTACGTTGAAATGTTTCTTTTCTTTCGTGGTAGGAGAAAAGGGGTGGGATGCACTTGCTACGGGGGGCCACCACTTACATTTGGTATAATACTGATGTTCAGACTCAGCTGTGCCAAGTTTGTATTTTTCTGCTCTAAAGAAGTGAACAAGGTGGTGAGTTGAAGGCTTCCACTGTGTAAAAGGTTCTTTCAAGCTATTGCTTACAATTTCTCTCTCTTGCTTTTTTCTTTTTTTCTTTGGTTTTTTCTTCCTACTAGTGTTCCTAGATAGAAGAATTTGCTTGGTTTGTTTCCTTGTCAACTTGTGGTTTCAGAGAGGATTTCCTGTGAGCATTTCTTGTCAAAAAAAAGAACAGTTCCAGGACAGTTACACAGGGAAGGCCAGGTTTATACAGATGCTCTCAGAACGTATATAAATGTGACTTTGGGAAGCTGGTAAAAATGTGTTTCAAACTCCTGAAGACCTGTGCTTCTAGATGGCTTTGCTTTGAGTCTTCTCACAAGACCACAGTTGAATAGTTTATTCTTCCTCTTAAGGGGAGTAGGAATGAAACGGTGTCTACTGAATAGTCCTTAAAATACAGTCAAAAAGCACACAGAATTGTGATTAGCAGCAGGCTTCCTGCTTGCTGCTGTCTTGTCCTCTTTCTCTCTGTTAAGTAAGCAGAGGTTCACACATACTTGAATGTGCTCCCCTCGGTAGCAGATTCCTGTGTTAATCATAGTTTCTTCAACTACGTCTACAGGCTAATCAGAAAGTTTTTATGTTTTACTCTACTGACATAGAGATGTACACGATTGGAGCTCTGTAATCATAATGAGATGTTTTTATATCAATATATGGAAATTTATACTAAGAAGTTGTATTTCCCAGTGAAGTATTCTTGACCTCAGACTGTCCTGTCATAGAAATTAAGCATCTTACATGTGACATCTGTCAAGTGAATGTTTGCTAACTCCCTTTTTTTGGTCCTGTCATGCCACCATTTTATATCATTTAATAACTTCCATTTGATTACAGTAAAGTTTCAGTGGATGTAATTGTTTTACGTATTGTCAAACTTGTTAAATTGCCCTCCAATTACAGTAACTAACTAATGGATCAAATATTGTTGATTCAGTGTAAAGACTTACAGATATTTAAATTGTGTGGTTCTTGGGCTCCGGTCAGGTACTTCATTCTTTGTACTCTGAACTCTTTCTTCTCTTGAAACCATTACTCACCTTTGTAGTGAACATCTGTTCAGGTTCTGCTTTCACCTTTTACTTTCACAATAGATGTGAAATATTATCTGAAATAAAGACTCTTTTGTGTGAAATAAGCTTATTGTTGGGTAGCTTCAAGATCTTCTTTAAGAGCCGTGCACATTGGATCAGGAAGTTGCTTCACATGCAGCAGTTCATTGTCTGGACACAGGTAGATGGCATTGGATGACATAATTTTCTTTATTAAAATGTCCATGCTGGTGGAATGTGTTATGTTTTGACTTCTGTGCTACCTATAGTTGCCTTGCTCATGCAGGGGCACTTCAGCCGTTGAAGGGAACAAACAAGCAGACACAGGACCAGCAGATTGTGGCCCATGGAGTTCTCCTTGTGTTGCCCTAAAGAGCCAGCTCAGAGCCTCAAACAGCTTAAAATACTCCCTCTCAGGTAATGTGGGTACTAGTCAAGCAATGTAGTTAGTTTCTTTGTCAGACAACATCTTTCCCAGAGGCTGTGAACTCTTGGTATGCCTGTACCGGAACAGGATGTATTCTCAAAGAACATTGATCGCAGAAAGACAGGTACAGAGGTCGTTGCCTGCAGACATGCTGTTTGCCTGCAGATAGGTTCACAACATCAGAAGGAAGCTCATCTGCTTTCCAGAATGTTTGTCCTGTAGCTCTCATCAACTGTAGAAGTGGCTGAGCAGCACAGCTGATCTTCTGGAGAAATCAAAGTGCTTCAGCCAAGTGAGCGTTCCTCTCTGGTGATTGTTTTAATCTCGTACTTGTTCCTGAAATGTATGTGGCATGACGGATAACTCAAAGCTCAATAAAGGCTATTGCCCTTTGGTTCTGTGCTGGCTGTCACGTGCTTGCATTGATTTGGTTGTGTGGTTCCTGCTGTATACACGTACACAGGTAGGGATCCAAAATGGGATTAGCTCATTTTGTTCTCGTAGAGCCATGACAAGAGTGCAAGACCCATGTAGGCTAAAGAAGGGTGTGCTGCATTTACCTGGGTAGCAGGGGAGAAAATGAGCAAGCGTTGATGTCATCTGGGAGAGCCTTAAACATCTGTTCTTAGGGTCTTTGAATTGACTATTATTTTAGAGTTTAGAAGATTGTCCTTGTGTTGTCATGGATGCGTGTTATTAATATTTGCATCTTACCTAAAGAGAAGGGAGGATCTTTAAGAGAACCTTTCTTTATGTGTTCATTAGACATTGTTAAGCAGGTGTTAAAAAGTATTAAATTCTGGCTTAAATTCTCTTTGCCCCCTCGATCCCTTAGCTGTCTGTGCTCTGTGGTGGGTTAGTTTTGTCTTTGTTACAATCCTTTTCCTTCCCTGGACAAGCCTGGGAATTAGGATGGTTTTGTTTTTTTTTTTAATGGATGTAGTTTGTAAAATGGAAACCTTTTTGTTTCCTTTAAGCATTATAATGACAAAAAGTAACGCCTCAACTCACTTATAAACAGCCAGGTTTCCTGTCAAAACCCAGAATTTTGGCTCATGCTCTAGACTGTACACATCTGAATCAGATAGTTCCATAATTTGTTTGGGTGTGTTCAGGAAGCAGAGAGGGAAGAAACGTACAGCTAAACTAGAAAATAGGGTGATTACACGACCGATATACATACCTTGTGCAAAGTTTATTCAAGTAAATGAAGTGTCTAATGATTATTTTTTATTTCCTTTTAGAAAAGAAGGAAGAAGAGAATGTGGAGTACACAGTTGTTGATTGTTTCCAGCAGAAATTTGGCCCAGCTGTAAGTATTAACGAAAGCTCTTATGCAGCGTATATGACTTCTAAGCCTGTTCCGTCCTAATTGTCAGTAGATCCATTAGGTGGCAGGATTGTGCGCACTGCTTTGTCAAGTCTTAGACAGGGAATGGCTTTTGCAACTGTAGTGAAATTTGAGTAATAGGTGGTAACTGGCTTCTTTAAGTCAAGTAGAAATGGTATCTCTGGTGGCATCGAAGTATATTAGAAGTGTGCATACGCGCAGGGGAAAGAGTGCAGTGCATGTGAGTTTGCGGTGGGTGGATGTGAATCTGCATCAGTGTGTGTTGGTTGCTGTTTTCAAACTCTATCCCCAGTAACTGAGGTGAGGGTTAGCATTACTATTTAATGAACAATCATTTTGTTTAGGAAGGGAACAACATGAGGATTTGCTGGCATTTGGAGAGGGAGTTAATTGTGGTGGTTTAGTAGGTGTTTGGAACTCCAGACATGCCTGGACCTTTTTCTTTTAAATCATGTGTAATACCATAATCAGACTTGGTACAAAGGCTTTGTTTCAGAACTTGGAGCCAATGATAGAGTTATTATTAACTCGAGTAGCATTTTTTAGATCCTGAATTAGACCAGCAATATTATAAGTCCTCCATGCCCTTTTGTCTGGCAGTAAGATCAGTTGGGATTTGGGCTCGTATTACAGTAAATTTGTTGCACATACAGAGGAAAAAAATCTCTTCCCTACAGGAAGAGATTAACTTGCTTTCAGAGGAATCTTGACTGTTGCTTCAAAAAGAATCTGGCTTTTTGATTTATGTTTATGCCTTCTACTCTTGTGTTACATGTGTAGTACAGGTTGCTTTATCTTAATTGTCTGAAAACTTTTCGTGTGTGTGTGTAACAGGTTTTTCTTTTATACCTTAGAAAATGAGTTCTCCTTTTTATCTGAAAGGAAGACCTTCTTTATGTGATCTTAAGGAAATTCCTAAAATCTCTTCAGGAGAATTTCTTGTGAGGAGATCAGGGGAGTCTATATTCTTTAGTTATCCCTAATCTCTAAGTCTATCATTGATGTTTCTAGTTGTCGAATTTCCAGCTGTCTATCTGTAACTGGGCTGATACTGTGTCTGTTTTATCTCGAATCACTGTATATCTGAGATTCGTTATGGTTTTGATCTGTATTTACCTTTTTAAATATGAATCATGACCAGAAAAATTAGTTTTCTATTTGTCCATCTGCCTCTCATTCTCTGGCACTATTTATTTTATCCCTATTTTTTTCATAAGGTGCTGCACCTGAAACAGCAGTGTGTTGTCAGTATAGCAGGAGAAGGTGTTAATTTGTGTCGTCATGGAAAACTCTCATGGCTTGAGGTAAGAGACAGGTATTTCCCAAAATGTGCCATTAAACAGAGGCATAACTGAGAAACATTTGGAGATTAGCCTGTGTTTAAGACTTACTTGCGTAACGGTTTTGGTAAGGGATATGATGTTCAAGGCAGGACAGGTATTTCATAAAGGACCTGTTACGGAAAGAATTATGCCATTATAAGGCAATATAATAATTAGTTAACTTGTATGTAATATATACATTTGTATATAATAATGTAACATATTTGGTTTGTCATCTTTATATACTTGTATACAGGTAGAGGTATTACACTAGTACAGCTGTTACCTGTTGAAAGACTGCAAGACCTAAACACAATGTCAGTATAATTGAAGGAGTGAAATTCATCCAAAGATAATACAGTATCTTAATTAGCTGTGATATTATCAACATCTGAAAAGGAAGGAACAGAAAGGAGAATAGCTTAATATGTTAGTTCAAAATAATCTTAGTTTATTTTTAAATACGTTTAAAAGTGAGCATGTTTATCCAAAGCAAAAACTTGTATGGGAGTTCATGCATCAAACTTAACTCCTTTATGCAGAAGTAACCGTTCACAAGATGTTTGCTTTGGTGTAGCTAAATTGCTTTCAAATAACAGCTTTTGTTAAACCTTTATGAATTTGAACATAGGCAAAACCTAAATTTTATATCCTGTTTGAAATGCTAGGATGGAAAATTATGTCCTTTATGTCTTTGGTAGTGGTCTTTGACACAGAAAGGAATGTCATGGGCAAAAGATTTTTTTTTTTGGAAGTGGTTCTTCAAAAATGTCACCATAATAGGAGTAGGAATTTATTTTAAGTACTGTGCACAGGGTTTGCTCTTGATATGCCCTAAGATGCTGTATTTAACTGTGTATAGTAGACTACTAGATCATTCTTTCTAATTGTTGTGAGAGTCTCTGAGCATCTCTGAAAAAAATAAGACGTGTTTATGAATTTGCATTAAGGAAACTAAGCCCACTCTCCCCAACAGAAGCCTGTACATAGATTATGGTTTTTGGGCAACAATGCACGTTCTCCTGCTGTCAAATCCTTTGCTCTTCTGTCCCTCACTCATTTTCTCCGCAACTGAATTTATTGTAGATAGCAACAAAGAGCCGTATTTTTCTATTTGATATCTTCCTTCTGGGACCTCAGGCTTTCAAAAATGGATTACAAATGGTGCTGGAAGATAAAAACATCGTGAAGGTAAGGGTACAGCGTGTGTGAGGACATTTGTGGTGGCAGAGGTCATGCATGTACATAATGAACTAGTTGCACCAAAAAAGTCACAGTTGGACACAAGTTTGTCTGACAGCTCTTTCTTGCTTCAGGTCATGCATGACTGCCGCTGGATCTCAGACTGCCTCTTTCACCAGTACGGTGTCATTCTCTTCAATGTCTTTGATACACAGGTACCCTTCAAATATTCTGGTTGGGAGCAAAAGTTTCAAGAAGAGAAACTTCGGCCTTGTTCAGGGCGTTCTCCCAGAGAAGGTTTAACATTACTAGAATGTGACAGTTGCTGACCCATGTAAATGTAGCATTCTAGCTAAAAAGAACCAGCAGACAAGGCTGATAATGTTATTTAGAGTCTTGTGTGGACCCATTTTAAAAGGTAGCTAATATGTAATATGAACATCAAGTTCAGTGTGTTTTTTTTAAGATGTATTAACTGGTCTTGTTCAAACTTGGCACCATCTGAGGCTACTGTGTCTTAAACAGGAGCCAGGTCAGCTTGTGCTTTATGTTCTTTGTTATTATTTCAGACAGATTCAGGCTACAGGTATTCAGCACTAGGAAGCACCTGCTAATAAAAGCAGTGATGGATGTGAGAGAACATCCAGCCGGGTTACCAGGTTGCTGGTGCTGGCCCTGGTAGTTGTGGTAATTAATGATAGTGCAACTAACAGGAGAACTAGAGCCTTTCAAGGGAGAAGAAAATAATGTCTATGAGCTTTCATAATGGGCATGGATATGTTTGCATAGTTATGTATGGCTTGTCTTTGCCCATATACTGACTTTTCATGTTATGGATATGGCTACCTATAGTAACTCTTCAAAGCCCTAATGTGGACTACGTAGTAAGCTTTATACAGCAGAGGTTTCTCTCAGTCACTTTCTGATTTTAGTTTGGCCTTTTGCCCCTAAAAATTACATCATTCCGTTACAGGTCAAATATCAATGTCAGTGTTAAGTCTTGACTGTGTGAAAAAGGTAGGGGTGAAAATTCCCACCAGTGCTCCCAAATGTACTGGCTAGAACATGTAACTGATACAGTGGAAATAACTAACCAACACTATCCACCCTTGTGTCTGAGGTACACGGAATTGCACTCATTGTTCTGTTGTCTTGGTATGAGCAGACGTGCATGCTTTTCTTGCACTGATAGATCTCTGGGGTTAGATTCAATTACTCTGATTTGTTGGCCTGAATCCTACTTTAATGTAAGTAAGCTGGCGAAGTAGTCAGGTTTTGGCTACCTTGCAGTGTACCTGATATTGTGGAATTAAGCTGTCTTGTCTTCTACTGTGTACTACTGGAGCAAATAACTGGGAGATATCTCTGAGCAAACTCTCATAGATGCTTTTTTGAAGCACTTCTTAGAGACAACTTCCCAAGGTTGTTAACATTGGAACAGGCTGTGTGCACAGGTGACACTAAAAAACACAGCAATGAAATGAAGAACTCTGGTTTAGACAGGATCCTGCCTGCATAATTTGAAAAGTATTATTTATCACCGATTTTAACACAACAGGTAGAGGATGGCAGTGAAAGGCTTCTGATGTTCACTCGTTGTCTTCCCCATTGATGTTCTTACAGTATTTAAGCATCACCTTTTGAAGTAACTTCTCATGATAATGTCTGTGGAAGTTTGATACTGCTATTTCACATCTGACTGCCTTGGGGTGGGGGGCTATAGCAGCCTACAAAGGTGCACAGTGAGCAGGCAGCTGGCTGTTGTCAGTGCTTACATTCCTAATTTTGCCTTCTGGGACACTTCCACTCTGCATCATGAGGCTAGAGCATTCTCATGCTCTGAAATCCCTGCCTATAGTAAAATGTTGTTGGTTGCATATCTGTGTACTACCAAAAGAAATAGTACAATTCTTCCCAGAGGCGTGTGCTGAAAGAATAAAGAAAACTTGACAGGTTGAGGATTTCCATAGGACAGAGGTCCATGCAAAGTTTAATCATAAAATGTACAAGTGCAGAAATCACTGTTGCTGTCTGGTTCCACAGATCAATGCACATACACTACTCTTGAGCATGCCATAGCTTTTCTTCCCTTGAATTCAAGTCATTAGCATGCGATGACTTTGGGCAAAGATTTTCACAGTGAAAGCTAAACCATTGTTTTCATTGTTGGCAAGTTTATTCTATAACCTTGTTCATTCCGGGTAGACTTTTTATGAATATTGATTGCAAGGATTCTTTCATTTTTGTTTAAATATTTAGGTCTTTTCTCTCCTTGTTTGGAAAGCACTGAAATTCTTTACTAGAAACTCTCTCACTAACCTTCTAGAGGAATGGAATGTATTTCTGTAGATTTGAACATGATCTTTGTCTTGACTTTGAGTAAAACTGATTGCTTGAGAAGATCATTCCTGAGCTGGTTCTTCATCTGTGTTTGGCCCCTGAGAGTGAAAAGCCGGAGAAGGTTTTAGTGGTCAGAAGTACAATACAAAGTTCTGTTCAGTAATGAGTGATGGAAAATTCCTCTTTATCTGGTGATTTGTGCTTATAGTCCAGTGAAGGTCAGCTTCACCTGGGTCTTCTCCGTTTTCTTCTCTTCAGTGAACTCATCAGTTTGAATTGGTGCAGTTCCTTTCTCCAGGTATGTTTCTTGCCACTTCTCAGCTGGTGGTTGTAGACTTTGAACTGCAGCAGTGTACTCAGCCTAGCAGAAATATAAGCAGCCCTAGCGGGATCTTTCTGTCCTACTGCAGAGCATAGGAGGTCTGACATAATTTCTTTCCTTAGTCCAAGATTGCTTGTTCCATGTGTGGTACTCTAATGTTTTTGCATTTTCTTCATAATACCTTCATATGATCTTTTATTCCTTGGGAATTCGGTAAATGGATTGGCTTAGCACTTTCTTCTGGTAGGCTTGGCAAATACATGGCTTCTCTCCCAGAGAAGGCAGCAGTTAGCTATTTTCCTGACGCCTTAGAGGCAGCTTTAGTTGTTAATAAACCATACCACTACATGGATTGGTCTAGACAGCACATGGGCAGCGTGCGGTAGAACAGCTTGGACAGTGACTTCAGCTGTAACCCTTGCAGTAAAACTGTGCTGGCCTGTAAGCTCATGGTTTTGTTGGTAGGACTGTGGATGCTTGTGTTGAGAGTGGCTCGAGATTTCTTGGGAGAGACTAGTAGGGAGAAAAGGGCTATGAGAGGTCAGTGGGGATTTTGGGGGACCATAGTGGCGATCTGGGCTTCTGAGTAGCAAGGAAGTCTGGAGGGTAGGTTGTTCTAATGACAGATAGCTCAGTCTCAGATTATGAGTGTGGGTGCAGGCTTTTTATTTTTTCCTCTCCATTCCCCTGGTGAGTGGACTCTCTTCCAGGCTTCCCTTTTCCATTGTCACCTCTCTGCACCTGTTGCAATAGTCCCACTCATCTTTGTGTTCCTTGGTTAGGGACAAGTCAGGGGTGTTCCTGCTCTTACTGCAGAAGGGTAAAAGGGATGAAACCAGGATGCAGAACAAGCAAACACCATGCCCTGCAGGCACTGCTGGAGGCTGTTGTCTGCTTCCCTTCTGGCTCTGTATGCTGTCAAAGATGACTCTTACTGGCCAAATCAGGTTTTAGGCAAAAGGTTTTTGACAACTGACATATTCTTTCATGTTTTCTTTACATTGCGTCACTATTTCAGGTTTTAGGTAAAAGGCAAAATCGTAAGTATTCTGGGGAAGTATCACTGTATGTTACTCCCTCCTGATACTGCTCCTAACTACCTGCTGTCTGGAGACAAGTACAGAGCTAGAAGAAGCCTTGGGCTAATACAACATATACAAGTCATTCTTACAACTTAATTTACCCTTTTGTATAACTTAACAGCTTTAAGGAATTGGATTACTAGCTGTGCAACTGTATGCAGTTAAAATGAGGATTAATTTGTTTGCAGCATACTACTTTCCTTCTAATATGCATCCTCACTGTCAAACCTCTACATTCTTTGCCTTGGGTTAACAGACACTGGTCATGGCATATCGATCCCTTCCATCACAGGTTGCTGATGCTCTGCAGTTCTCAATGGCAACAGGCGGCTTCCTGCCACACCGTGTCTACACGTTACAGGAGTGTTTGATGCAGCACTTGAAGATACCTTCCAAATGGAATGCCATCATGGAGTGCAGGCAGCAGATGGCTTCGGTGAGTGATTCAGTGAGGCATCTTCTGAAGACTCAGTTGTGAGCTGTGCTTTGCCCATATTGAGATGTTTCTATCAGGTTTTTTTTAAGAGCATGGCACTATGCAGTGGTCAAATTGCTGTAGATAAGGACATTCTGTAACACTGACTTGGGAGACAGATGCAAGCTTTAGTTGGCATCAGTGCTTATGCTGGTATTTCCTAATAGCTTATTTGAAATCAAGGTTTTGAAGAACCACAAAGCTTGTACAATAGAAGATATATATAACTTGAGTAAAAAATGTTCTGGATATCTTGATATATTTGACTAATTCTGAAACCTAGTTACAACAGAACAAGTTGGTTAAAATGAATCCTGAGCCAAGTAGGGAAGGAGGAAAGTTTTACTGCCAGCACTATTAGAATGAAAAAATGAGAGTAGCGATTTTTTTCTTGCTTGTGCAATTCAGCAGCATTTGCCAAATCATTATTCTCTATTGTCCTTGTTTTGTTAGTCTTTCAGATGGGGACAAGCAAGGGAAAGCTTAGTGGGCCAGGAGCTCCTAAGATTTGAGAAACATAAGCTTAATAAATAGAATAGAATAGACAATTTCAGTTGGAAGGGACCTACAACAATCATCTAGTCCAACTGCCTGACCACTTCAGGGCTGACCAAGTTAAAGCCTGTTGTTAAGGGCATTGTCCAAATGCCTTTTAAATACTGACAGGCTTGGGACATTGACCGCCTCTCTAGGAAGCCCATCCCGGGGTTTGACCACTCTCTCAGTACAGAAATGCTTCCTAATGTCCTGTTTAAACCTCCCCTGGTGCAGCCTTGAACCATTCCCACGTGTCCTATCACTGGATACCAGGGAGAAGAGCTCAGCACCTCCCTCTCTGCTTCCGCTCCTCAGGAAGCTGTAAGAGAGCAATGAGGTCCCCCCTCAGCCTCCTTTTCTCCAAACCAGACAAGCCCGAAGTCCATAGCCACTCCTCATAGGACATTCCTTCCAGCCCTTCCACCAGCTTTGTTGCCCTCCTCTGGATGCATTCGAGGACCTTCATGTCCTTCTTAAATTGCGGGGCCCAGAACTGCACACAGTGTTCAAGGCGAGGCTGCACCAATGCTGAATACAGCAGGATAACCACCCCTCTCCACCAGCTGATTATACTGTGTTGATGTGCCCCAGGATGCGATTTGCCCTCTTGGCTGCCAGGGCACACTGCTGACTCGTATTGAGCCTGTTGTTGACCAGCACCCCCAGATCCCTTGCTGCAGGGCTGCTCTCCAGCCACTTCTCTCCCAGTTTATACTTGTGCCTGGTGTGGAATCTGGTCTTGTTAAATTTCATCCCATTAATCATAGCCCAATGTTCCAGTATATCTAGATCCCTCTGCAAGGCCTCGTGTCCCTCGAGAGCGTCAACAGCACCTGCCAGTTTGGTATCATCTGCAAACTTGCTAATGGTGCATTCAAGTCCTGCAGCCAGATCCTTGATAAATACATTGAACAGAACTGGCCCTAGAATCGAATCCTGAGGAACACCACTGGTGACCAGTCACCAGTCAGATGTAGCCCCATTCAGTACAACCCTTTGAGCTCAGCCCTTCAGCCAGTTCTTGACCCAGTGCACCATGAACCCACTCATCCCACAGCTGAACAGCTCGTCCGGAAGGATGCTGTGAGGGACAGTATCAAAAGCCTTACTAAAACCCAGAAAAACTACATGCCCCACCTTCCCTTCATCCACTACATGGGTGACCATATCATAGAAGGATATCAAATTAGTTAAACAAATAGTATATAAATATGCTAGTGCCAGTTGTGGCATCTTTTTGCTGGGTTTTTAATCACATGACCCTGCTTTTTCTTGGGGGGAGACTTCTAAAGAAGCTATTAAATATGGGAAGTAAATGAGACCTCGCTATGTAGGCAGGATTTCTTTACTGAATAGGAACAATCTCTTTCCTACCAGAGCACTTTCTTCTCCCTTCATACTGGTCTTGTAACTTCCTGAGTAAATCTGAGTGGTTTTGCACTGCCTGTTCGGAGACTTAAAATCTTTCTCAAAAGCCTGGACTAAATGTTCTTTGATACTGCTATAATAGCTACTCAGTGAAACCTCTAATTTGAACGCAGCTTTATTTTGATATAAGTTTTGGAATTCTAATAGTATCACTGAAAATTTCAATTTAGAGAGTTCTGTATTGCAAATCTAAGCCAAATGACAACATGGTTTACCAGACCAAGTCCTCTTATTGGTCCGAAGACTAAAAGTGGAAATATTGGTCTGAAGACTAAAAGTGGAAAATGACTGTGTAATGTGTATGTAGTAAATATACTAGTGCACGCCACTATGTAGTGGCAGTTTTGCTCAGGGTATCACAGTCATGCTGCTTAATGGGGGCTTATTTTCATGTTCTTCCAGTTGTGATGGCTGAAGATGTTACTATACCCAGCTGCTTCACCGGCTCCCGTGATGGGGAGGGTTTTTTCCCTGTAGATCTTGCAGCTCAGCTCTTAAAAATCCAACCTAGTTTCAGAGACGGGTGAGAGAGAACTTAGCATTAAATGCTGGAAGAGGTGCATGTTGGTTTTTGGTTTGTTTCCTTTTTTAAAGAAGCAAACCTTTTTTAAAGAAGCAATCCCTCCTCCGAACTCCCTCTTCTCTAACATCCACAGGCTTAGAAGCTGCATTTAGTAGCACTGAAAATAGAGTCAGCATCAGGAGATGTATGTTGTAAACTGCAGAAGAATGTGATGAAAAGCTTTGTTACAATTTCTGCTAGTTAAATAACTGTTTTCATTTGCATTGGGTTACACAGGAGAATCCTGACATATGGTTCTTGAGACCCTTTCCAGCTTCTCTGCTTAAAGCACTTGCTCTGAAGGCTATGTACCTTCTGCTGCTCCACTCATCTCTCATGGATAACTTGATGTCTGACCTAACGGCTGTAGTACATGATTATTTAAATGCTTATAGGACTAGATCTGGAGATCATCTTGGGAGCACAAAGGTAGGTACATCTTTGCTTGTTTCTCTGGGTAGTGATTTGATCTAAGGTTCTGATGGATAAACTCTGGAGGACCTAGCTACAGCAGCTTCCTTTTCTGCAACTCTGCACCCTACTTTATGCCACATACCTTCTTTCCTGTGTCCAGCAGCAGGAGTGATGGTGTCTGTATCTACCTAGCTGCATTCCACGTTAGTCCATTAGCACAAGTCCATCTCAAGTTAGTGCTGTGGATGGTGAGCTGCAGCTGTTAGGGCATGGACGCACGCACACGTGCCTTCTGTTCACTCTAATCTGAGACTGAGAACCTCTGGGCTCAATAGGGGCTGTGTATGTGCAAGGGCACGAAGGACAGGCAATTGAGAAGTGTTGCTACCTGGAGCTGCCAGAGTTGCTTTGTTTTTGTAAGAACATTTAGTCCCCAAATATTGTTCTATTTTTCTCCTATTCTGTCATCTTTACTGCTGAGCTGTTTTGCATATACTGGCTGTTTCTGAGAAATAATGTCTCCTGTTGGCCAAAGATTTTTATTTCTGTAAAAGCATCTCTGAGTTATCTTGTCTCCCTAATTTGTTCTCACCTGTGTTATCTCAAAAAAAAAAAAAAAATCAAGTTAAGTAACACTTTTCATCTTTGGTTACATAGAACCAGTAGTATTGCATGCCCAGATACCTTGGAGTGGTGCTTGTATGGTGGCAACTTCTGTAATTGCTTCTTAATTTTTAAAGTGGGGGGGAAATAAAATTTTTGGTTAAGGAGCTTGACTTCCTGCTCTAATGGAAAGAACAGGTCCCGCAAACCAAACAAGCAGTGGTATTGGTGTGGACTTTTTCTGTCTTCTCAATGAAGTACTCTTAGGAGGGCTTGCAATAACTATGTAAGTTATTGTAGTAATAACTATTGCTGGTATTAAATTTGGGTGAAAAGTGAATGGTCAAACATCCTCATTCACCACAACGACACTTAACTAACATGATTAAATCCTGGTACCATCTCATTTTTGCTGTTGTAAATGTCTTGAAATATTTATTAGGAGAAGAGAATGCAGGTCCATCTGATGGAAGAAATTTTCTTTCTCTTTGCCCTGGTTTAACAAAGCACTCAAGCACAGACCTGGATCCTTTGGGAGTTACTTAAGGACTCGGAGCAGTAAATCTCATTATTGAGGATTTAGGGGATTAGTTTAGATAACCACAAGAGGTCATAGTTGCTTCACAGATAGAAGAGAAGAGGTCGTATCTGAAAACCTTTTTTTGGCAGTTCTCCTTTAAAAAAAAGTTGTTCGTAGTTCATTGTAAAAAGGGGGCTTGACATCTGAATTTCCACTGTGAAATGCATGCAAAAGCAGACATGACACAAGGGGAAAGAACAGTCTGTTAAAGTGCATATAGTACAAATTCTGGTTTGCATTGGACTATCTGGTTGTAGAATTTTTTTTTCAAGTGGTACTCAGGTTGCTGAAGCCAACCCTTTTGTTAAATCCATTTATTCCATAAGATTAGCCAAGGAATTAATCTGATCTGATCATTTCAAGTGTCATTTTGAAGATCTATTTAATATGACATCTCATAATCATACTTCTTGCAGTTGCTTTAGAAATCTTCTAGTATGGATAGTAAATGTAACCATTTTCACCATCATTTCACTGTTAATCATTTTCTGTTGTTGCTATATCTTGCAAAATCACACAAATGAAAGTTTCTTCTACTTTATTTAAAATCTGTTTGCAAATACATATTTGAACTCGAGATAGGGAGTTTGGTTTAGTTAAAGCTGTTCTGTTACTTTAGTTTCTTCAATAAGTAAATAAAGTTAACTTTAAGGGAATCCTTTGCAAGTTGATGAGCTAATTCTGTTTTAAGAAGAAAAAGAAAAAAAAAAAAAAGGGAAAACAAAAAAAGCTTTGTGCAACTTCTAGGTTTTCTGGCTAAGTCTGTATTAACTCCCTGAATCAAAAAGCCTCTATTCAGATCTGATTCTCAGAATGAAGTAATAGTCAAGATACTTATGCCCCCCTGCCCCTTATTTATTCCAGTGCTTTGTCATGGATATTTGGAAGTTTATCCATCACTGAGGTCTGTGTTATGCCTTCTGTGCATTTTGTGGAGCTACAGTTGAAAGTTACCTGGAAGATGCTTTTACTGGACTATTTTACTTTTTACACTGACCGGTTACAATTTATACTTATGTTCCACCTTGGACCCTTGGTGAGCAGCAAGTCTGGTGCAATGAGCTTGACTTCATCTTGGAGCCGGACTCCAGTGTTGCTGTTGGGAGACTCTGTGCTTGATGACTGTGCTCTCCAGACATGATCTGGTGCAGTTCCAACACTACTTCAGCAGAAGTAATGGATCTCTGTGGATTCTGAAGTAAATACCCATGCCAGGGAAACATTTTGGAAACCTCAAATATGTTATCTGCTATGCTCTTTCCATGCTGGAGAACTGGAAGAGAGGCCTCTGTTGCTGAAGCAGGACTGCAGCAAAGCCAAAGACAATTAATGGTCCGGGGCCATAAAGATATCTTGCACTACTTCAGCTTCTAGATTGGAAGGTGGATGTAATTTCTGAGTGAACAGGGAGGATCTGTGGTACGTCAAGCCTTTACTTGAAAGTTGCTTTGCTTGAAAGCCACTAGGCAAGAGAGTCTCCAGGTTATCATGGCCTCTTTGATTTAAAGGCACTTGGGGAAGATGACCAGATCTGGAAACTGACTAACTTCTGTCACTTCCACTAAGGAAGCCTCTTCTGGGCCCTTCTCTGTTCTGTTTTAGTTCTTGGATTGTGCTCTCTGAACAGAACCACTAGGTCTTCAGCCTTTCGACAAAGGGAAAGTTAGTTATGTAGACGTGCCTTCTGTTGTGCCTCTGGACTACAAAGGTGTTTGAGTACGTCGTACCTGACTAGAGCAATGAACAGAACCATGCTTCCCTGGCCTGCTCTTGTTTCCTCTGATCTTATTGAGTGACATCATGTCACAGAGAAGAATGCTTTTTTTCCTTCTCCCATTCCCGCAAACTTACGACACTGCCATAGAAACTATGCTTGCAATACAAGTACACAGATACAGACACAGTTTCAATTATAAGACTTAATTAAAAATGAAGTACCAAAGCTGGATGGAATATGTAGCTACATTCCTTCCCATTTCCAGCTGTCACGTTGAATCTCAGCTCCTGGATCAGGATTTACAACATTGAACTTCAGCTTGGACTAGCATGGTGACATCCTCCTAATCTTTCCTGGCTCACTGCCACATCCAGAAGTTTGTAATTCCAAGTGCTTTTGTGGGTAATAACAGTATCAGGATATACTGTTTGGAAAAGATGCTTTGGCTTTCCAGTCTGAGGTTACCTGTGAATTGAATAATGCTGAGTAATGACCAGTAATGTTGAATAATAACCACTGGAGCAGTTACTTTCTCCTCTTGTCAAATCAGGGGGTTCAGTCTCTGGGAGAAGATCTGGGCCAGACCCTGTTTTTCCTCCTCTTGGAAACAGCAGCAAGGAAAAGTGACTATGCGTAATTACGGAGTGAGTAAAAGCCAAGCATGTTCACTTGCCGTTACGGATCACTGAATCCACTGAGAATTGAGGAAAAGCAAGTGTGAATAAGGCTGCTGAATGTAATTTTCACCACCCTTCCTTGGGCTCTGTATGCCCAGTCTCTGCAGTCAGTTTTCTGCAGGCATCTCTTGTTCCTCAGCGGGATCTTTCTGTACGCTCTAACAGGCCCCTATTAGTGGCAGAATAGAAGAATCACTTGCTGGCTAAATGCACAGCTCCTACTAGGGTCAGATCATCCTTGTGGCCTTCAACATGTTCAGGAGTGCTTGACTTCGGACTTGTGCATAATTGCATGTACCTGTGTCTGTCTGCCTTGTTTCTTGAACATGAATGACTGGTAGAGGTTTTGTTTTGTTCCACCTCATTTCAAAAGAAGCTTGTACTTTCCCTTTACGTAAGACAAGTTTTCATAAAGAATTTGATAGGAACAAAGTTCTAGGTTGTCAGAGGCCATGGGTAAGCGGGTAGAAATGGAGATTAATGACAATTTATTGCTGTGAAAGCAATAAACTGGTAAGAGCAGAGCAAGCCGCAGTTACATATTTTGTGCAAATAGTATGCTTGAGTGTTTGACTTGGGTGTCATAATTCTCATGAGCGATTGCAGCAGTCACTGGTGGTAGTCCTGGTTTCACCTGAGGTTTCAGCCATCTTTTCTTCCCCTTGATCCTTCAGATGTTTTGCTGGAAATTGCAAAGAAACAGAGTCTTTCTGGTCAGCCAGTGGGCAGCCGTGCCAGCAAGACTTTCACCTTGCTTCTGGACAGCCAAACACATTCTTTTGCCATTTAGTAGTTGTTTCAGCAGTAACAGAAGATGTAATGAAGAGCTGGCCTGTGAGCTGGCACACCAGGTGGGAGACATGCTGTCAGGGTGACAGGATGCTACTCCATGGATTAGAGCTTCCTTCAGAAACAGGTTCCAGAAACGATGGTTGTCACGGCTCCTAGCAGTCGCTAGCAGCAGTAAAGTATTGCTAGTGGTCCACAGCAGTCAAAAATGGTAATGCAACACCCTTATTGATGTAGTACTGGGAGAAGAGGATGAAGAGAAAAAAAAAAATAAAGGAAATTTAAAAAATAATTAAAAAAGGCAAATAAAAAGAAAGGCATCTCATTGATCCTGACAGTTTTGGAAATGTATGTTGATGCTTTCTATGGTTTCTTGTGCCATTACCTGCAAGTAGTAGTTGAGTAGTTGAGTCTTCTGAACAGTGGACACTCCCTCCTACGCAACTGACTCTTTACCCATAAACCAGGTGCAAAACAGTAACCTCTGATCCCTAGCACTTCATTATCAAAACCCTCAGCTTCCCTCTTCAGCGTCTTTCTCAAACTGATAGTCTTCCTTATTGCTGAGGGGGGAGAACTCAAACACAAACTTCCCACCCTGAAGGTCTCTGCAGTTTCCTGCGTTTTCAGCACAACGGTCTGCCAGGAGTAATTGTTGTTCTTGTGGATGGCAGACATCAAGTAAAATGGATTTCTGTGCCTCTGCAGCTCTGTCACTAGAAGGAGCTAGTAAAGGATCTAGATGCACTAGATTTCTACCTCTCCTTGTAGATTAATATTTTTTGTTGTTAGGCACTTGGAAATGCAGCTGCATTCTGATGTTTAGGACTTAGATTCAAAGAAGCAAACGCAGCCTGGGAATCCATCAGCGTAAAGAAGCAAATGTTCTCTTAGAAGTGCGGTGTTTTCTTGTTTAAGTGGTGACAGTTCACAAGCAGAGCTCTGGTACTGTAGGGGAGTTGCACACCCCTGTGCAGCGGAGTTTGATTTCTCAATGCACTTAAGGTAAAGCTGCAGTAGGTAAGGTGCAGTGCAGTATATAATACCAGATAACACGTTCATGACGTGGTGGCATAAATTCTGTTCTCTGTCTATAACTGCATGCCCGAGCCAGAAGTTTTCCTAATTGGCAGGTGAGTTGGCACTGCACACAGTGCATATTAATCATTATGAACATACAGCCTGAATTTTTGTGCAATTTGGCTTTTAAGTGGTTTAGAGTGTGGATTACCTCTTACTGTAGGATACTGTAGCAGTTAGGAAGCTGGATTAAATTATTCTGGTTAAACAGAATGGAAGGTACGATGTTTTCAAGTAAGTGGTTGCTTTTCTTTTTTTCTGTAATCCTGCCTGAATTCTTTAGCCTTCCTCCGGATCTGTGCAAACTTCTAGACGTGGGTTTTATGAGGCATGGCTTCCTTTTACGAAAGCCGTGGTAACTCTTTTCTGGTGCATCACATCTGTATAGGCATTCATTCTGTTCTTAGGATTTCTACCAGTTTGCTCCTACAGACATCTGCCTTACCAGCATGTTGCCTCCTGTATTTTTCCTAGGACCTTCTTTAAACATTTGCCATCTTTCAATTCCTGGGTATCAAGGCAGGTTTTAAGCAAGATACTATAGTTACTAGTTCAGCATTTTCCTCTTCCACTGTTCAGGAATTTTGGATGAAATCCACCTTGCTGTTTGTATTTCAAGTAGTGGTATTAAGTATGTATGGGACAATCTGAAACAGATTCTGGGTATGTAATGAATGTTCTTGGCATGGGAATCTCCACACTTTTTCTTGCTGAATATAGAAGAGAAAAAATGTTGTGCATTTTACCATGCTGCTTTTGTATTCTGATCATCACTTGGCCCTGCAGCATGATTGACGTGTTGTGCTCCTCTCATGTTTAAAGCAAATTTTTTATTAGTTTTGTTATATTTTTGTTAAATATTAGTGAAATTATTATGGCCTGCCTTTTTTTTTTTCCTGTAACTTCATCCTTACCATTTTCTTTACTTTGATGTGGCTTTGCTTTCCTGAAGGATGCTTACTTCATAGTCCCCATTCCCCTAACCTGTTGTCCTGCTGGTTTCCTTTCACTCTTTCTGTGATCTTTTGCTGTGAGGTAATGCTTATTCTATGCTTCTTGTATGTTGTCTTGAAGTTGTCTCCATGCTACCTGCTACGATTGAATTTGCTTGGCTGCCTCTTACGACTTTTTATCAAGCTTCCTTATTTGTGTAATTCCCCTTTCTACAGCTGAACACCACTGTGGATTTTGTTGTTGTTGCTCCTACAAAGACGGTGAGCACTGCAGTCCTCGTTAAGGAGCAGATCCTTGAATGTGACATGTTGAACAGTGTCCCGTGCACTGCTCAGGACCAAATCAAGGAGTGTGTCTCCTTTCATGTACTTCCTAAGCAGCTGTTTCTTTGATTTGTTAACTATGTTGGCTTTTTTCCCCATAAGGTTTGTTAGTTTGGGGTTTTTTTCACCCATAGGATAGACAGAATACCATGGTTTTAAATGAAAAGCCAGGAAAGCTGCCTCTGCAGTGGCTCCTACAAGCAAACATGAGCTGGTTATGCCTCTTTTGGGGGTTTACAACAACTTTATAGTGCAAAAGGTTTCTCAGGAGACATCTAAATCCCACATGTGAAGTATTACTTAATCTTGAAGATCTTTTATAGTAAAGGAGTAAACAATAAATGCAAGTCTAATATTTTTCCCTTTGGGTTGCCTTTAAAAGAAAAGGGGGAGTGGACGGACTCTTTTTCCCCTGAGGTATTGTTTGTGTAAGCAGGTGGTTGATACATGCCACCGATCTAATGAGATGATTGTACTGTTCCATTGGCTAATTACAGAGGGAGCTCTTATCTGGTACTAACAAAAGTAGAGCATGTGTGTGCATATGTATTGATTTGATTTCTTTTCTGTTTCTTTTTTTCTTTATCAGCCCACTTGCATGAAGCTGCCAGAGGAGTTGCGTCAGCTGGCAGACATCCAGAAGCTGCGAAGGGAGAAAGCGATAAAAGACTACAGAATGAATGAGGATGGTCTTTTGATCAGACCAGCCATGGAATTAAAAGAGAGAAATGATCCACAGAAGGATGGAAACTGCAGAGATGACAGGGATTGCTGTCCTGCAGATAAAGCCATGTCTCAGATTACATCCTCTTCTAATCAGGACGTACTTTGTCAAGAAAATCAACATCAAGTGGTAAATCTGTGGAAGAATCTTAAACCAACCTCAAGCTGGCTGTACGAATCTAATTTCTGATACAGGTGACTTGATGAGCTTAGACTGGATCCAAGTGAAAAAAAAGGGGCTATTTCCCATGCAGAAGTGTCAAACAAAAGCTCCTTTCTTTACAATGACAGGTAAACCCATTGTGGAATGGAAATAATGATGGTCTTTCTTTCGAAGGAAATTCCTTCTGTGTCTTACTGTTCTTCTTAAGGTCTATTTTTGAGATCCCTTTCTTTCAAGAGCTGTTTTTGCTTTTAAAATGAGTGACTTATTTCTTACATTGTTGTCAGACCAATGTCTTAAATTGTATCGGTTCTTTTGTTACCTGCTGCAAGTATGTAAAACTCTCATCCAATCCAGATATGTAAACAGGGGAGCTTACAAGATGCCTGCTCATTGAGATTAGAAAGGGTTTGCTTGGAAAAATTAGGAAAAAAAAAAAAAAAACCAACCACCTTCTGGGCAACCCATGTGGGCTTGGTTTATATACAGATAAGTCTCTTGGCATAGCTATACAAGTCTTTCATAGAAGAGTGGAAAAGATCACACTCCAATGAACCACTATGCTGGCAAAAACAGCAGAGAGGTGTACAAATGAAAAGGATTTTTCTGCCAAGCCAGAGTTATTTTAGGCTGAGGAAAGAAGCTCCTGCTGAAAGCTGCATTCCACCATCGTTTGTCAACACTGCTGTGTCACAGTTTTGTAGGTAAGGCTGTAACAGGGATGTGGTGTGTAGACAAGTGTGTATAAAGGGGGGCGGGGAAGCAGTTAAATTAGTTTAAAAAGATGTATAGCATTCCCACCCAAGCAAAATAAGATATAAAGGCAAAAGCAGTTTGTTTGCAGTATACTTGCTGTGGATGGTGTACCCTAAAAGTAGAGCTCCTCCAACTGATAGTACCAGTCCATCGCACAACCAAATTAATGCAGGCTATGCCTGGGTCTTGGAATAGGTTTTTTGGCATATCACTATGGCATATCCCCAAGTGGTATATCCCCACTTGCAAGCACAGGGCTGTTGAAAATTCTTTGAAATTCTGGATTTATACACATGTATGCATTTAAATACATAAAAAATACGGCATGTTTTGCCATTCTAATGCTTCAGGCAGGGTGGAGGAACACCTTATTCAAGTATAAGGAAGGTTTTGTTCTCAGGGTTCTGGCTGTGAGTATTGGTGAACACTGATGAACAATGTGAAGTAGGGAAGAATGGGAGAGGTAACCATCACTGTCCCAGGCAGACTGCAGTCTAGCAACAATCCGGGCGTCGGGCTGCAACTTGCACCAGGTTGCGAAGGACATGATGTCTGCATTCAAATACATACCAATACCTGTTGGAGCTGTTTTTCTTCAGATGTAAATTGGTGTGACTAGCTGCTTAGGCTGTACCCCTGTGCATATCTTTTAAATATTGTTAGGGGAAATGTGTGTTGTTTTTTGGCGGTTTTGTTTGGGGTGGTGGGGTTTTTTTACATGTGTTGGTTTTTGGTGGTTTTGTTTGGGGTGTTTTTGGGGTTTTTTTTCTCTGCTTCTCGACAGAGAGGACTAGACCAGCAGCATTTAAAGAGGTCTTTTCTTTGAAACTATAGACTGAACTTGCTCACTTCTGGGAGCAGCAGAAAAACTTCCAAGGTTTGTTCTGCGTCAGTATATTTTCTGAATTTTTTTTTTAAGCCCTTAACACTATTCTGTTATCAAACTGTATAGTTCCTTTGGTTCAGTTCACTTCAGAAAAATAAACCAGGTTTGAAACAAGTTTGTCGTACATCTTTTGATTTGGAAATTGAGCCTGAGTTTAACATGATCTGCCAGGAGATGCTGGCGGTGGACTGGGCCCCTGTCCATCGCTGGAGCTGATGTCACTCAGCAAGAGCACAATTCTTCCCATTAGTGACGGGTCATCACAAATCAGTGAGGTACAATGTAGCACATTCGGCCTCTCCTGAACCAGAGACAGCCCAAGAGCTCTTACGTTTTATTTCAACGACTGAAATCCAGTTCTCTTAAGGAGGGAGAGAGATAAAATGGCTGTACGACAATGCAAGGAGGGAGGGAAGAGGAAGTAGCACGTGAAGGCATCGAGTCTGCGATGTGGAAGAGTGGTTGAGTGTCTCAGTGCAGGATACAAACTGGTTGTCCCTGTTCCAGCGCGGTCTGTGCCTCAGGGGTACCCTCAGTCGCGGGGG